CCCAGTCGGTAGAGGCTACTATGACAGGCATATCGTGCGGGGGCAACAGACATTACGGTCGGTACCCACGTACCGTGGGGTAGTACTTCTAGACCGTGGGGACGGTACCCCCTACCGTTAAGAGTACCATGAGGTACCTGAACCAGAAAGTAAATCATGTTTCGCCGAAGGTGGATTCCGAGGCTTGTGTGTTTCATAACGGGAAGTATGGGGTGACAACACCTTAGAATAGTCGTTAGCTAGTTGTTATAATTTTGTTACATGATGTTGATCCAATACATATGTGATTGTGTTGAATATATAACTCTATCGTTGCAAGTATGAGTGGCCTGATCCAGCACATAGTAAATAGATAGGTACCGTGTGTTGATTCAACATGCTCAGCAAGGTAAGTCAACCTAGAGGAAATCTTGGGACTCACATAAGTATTAGGAAAGTAAGGGTATAAACCAGGTGGATGCCTGCTATGCTCTAATGGTTAAGTTAATTTGGGTAAAAACGTATGTACGTGTATCCTTAAACTGCCTAGTGATCCATCAGGTGGGGATTCCACCCACCAAATGGATAACTCCTTTGTTGGTTGAGCATGCACTGATCTAGTGGGAACAATCATGACTCCCAAAAGTAAAGTATAAGACCTTAGTCTATAATGGATTATAGGGTCAGGTTCTTAGTGATCCACCAACCATGATGAATCCACATGTTTGAGGAGAATGGAATTAGGAAAGTGCCAGGTAAATTGTGTGAGTTAAATTGTATGTGTGACATATGTGTTGATTGCATGATATCACATGACTAGTATGAATTGTGAACTGAACGTTAGATATATCTCACTCAGCGTCAATGCTGAGCGTTTAGTTGTTTGTGTGCTACACGCAGGTAATCAGGTAGAAGATGAACCTAGACACGATCCCGGAAGGCGATAAAGACGAGGAGATGTGGTAGAGCTAATCAAGGATTTGGAACTTTTAATAATTAATGAATATTTTATTACGTTTTCGGGCATGAGTCACAAGTTGTGTGAATTTACTTATTAATTTCCGCACACTTTTTGTTTACTCCGATGTTGGATTTTTTATCAAGAACTATTGGATGTTTTAAACTGTTTTGAAAATTAGTGTATGTTTGGATACCGGAATAGTGGCAACCTGGTTCGCTAACCCGTGGATCCGAGTTATGCGGGTTGGGCTATTAGATGTTCTCCCTTATTCTGGTCTAAAGCATTGCCATCAGACCAATTTCATTCCTACTAATGAAATTTCTTATTTGAGCTAAGCTTGTTTATAAAGGCTATTCATGCCCCTAATGTTCTAGCAACCAATCATGTTAGAAATGGATAATGCCCCTCATATGAGGCATCATGAAAGACTTTGTTTATACCTCCAACAAACTGCTCTTCAACGATTATACCTCTCTTTGCACTTTTCTTCTTGTCTACTATTTGAAAATCCTCTTCAGCCCATGGTGTACGCTCCTTTTTATTATTGTTTTCCATCTGAATCTCAACTTCTTTATCTTTTGGTTGTTCAGCTTCCTTTTCCTTGTGCTCAAGGCTACTTTTAGCTCTCCAAATCATGGCTTGGCTCTTGACTCTGGCTTCTTTCTCCTCTTTGTTTTTACAAGTATCCTCTAAATGTCCCAATTTTTTGCATTTCCCACATCTAGCAGGGCAGCCGTCATACTCGATCCTTTATGTGACTACTCTTCTTTCCTCATATAGGAACATGATTTTATCAGGGAACTTATTCTGAATGCTCACTTCAAGTCGTATTCTTGCATACCCCAATTTTAACATAGTGGTTGTAGCTTTATCCCTTTGAATTGGCTTGCCTGCAATATTCCCAATTTTACTCAACCCATTGAGACTCTAGTATTTTAGGTCCAAGTTAAGAAGTCTTGCCCATATTGGTATATAAGTCAATTCCTCCAGATTAATCTTACCACATGGCTTCTATTTTTGAACTAGCATGGGTTTGTTATCTACTCCGTATAAAATAATACTTTCTCCTTGTGACTTCTTCTCTCTCTTCTTCTTTATCAAAGTGGACAACAAACTGCCACTCTCTTAATACAGATACCTCATCTACCTTGTATTCCTTCTAGATTCTTTGCAAAAATTCATCCATTATTTTCAATGAAGGATTTGCCCATAATACACAACACAATATAGTAGTATCCCAGCTATTAGAGGATTCTAACAAGTCTTCCCTAGACATTTTTGGCATGGTTACCCCATTAATTTCCTCTGTTTCCACATACTTCAAATCAAATTCAATATTTTCATTCGATCCAACTACCTCAGCAAAGGATCGTTTGGTTACGTCTTCCGCAACCTTTCCCCCCAAACCCATTTCTTGTGTCTTTAAGTTCACCCTATCTTTACTTGAGCTCTCATCCAAGGTTTTATTCATCTCTTTCGATATAGATCCAGAACCAGGAATAACATCTTTACCTGAAGACAATTCTCTAATATCTGGCGATCCCGCATCCTTGTTTGTCATCGATGGAGTTCCTTCTGCCGTCGTAGCCTTTTTCTTATCCCTCGGTCGCCCTCTTTTACTCGCCTTCATTGCTCAGATAGAGAGTTTTACGACTTGGTGTAACTTGAATCTTTAATTTCTATTCACTTTTTAACCATTATGAATTTTATAATAATAATAATTATACTAATTAAAAAATAATGAAAATGATAGTTAATAATAAAAATAATTATAATAACAAAAACTATAACGATTATAATAAGAATACTATGTAAAAAAACACATAAAAAGTTTCTAATTTTTTACAATATTTTCTAGTTTTTTCTAGTTTATTTCGGTTTTTTTCTAGTTTTTTCCTCTTTCTTCCAACATTCATCTTTTTTTCTCATTTCAAAGACACAGACTCTACGGCCATGTTCTCTTATACTTATTTTTATTATTTACGGAGTATTACTTATTGAAATCTGACCAGACCAAATAAGAAATAATTTTAAATATAACTATATTAAGATTAAATACGACAAGAGTCTATTCCAATCAGATTAGAACATTTGGTGTACAGCCTTTGTTGAAAACTAATTAATTCAACACAGTTCTTTGTTTTTCTCCTTATGGGTGGGTGTGCTCCGTGATGGTCCGTGATACTACCGCAACCTATCACGAATCACTCTTATTTAAACGGTTCGGTATCGATACGGTATGAACTCTAAATCCATTCACTACCATTCCGTTTTGAAATGGAACAGTAGAATATCATACCCATGCTCAAATCTAACCAAAAAAATGAACATGCAACACTCAAAAAATATTAAAATAAAAGCATAATTTTGTATACAAAAGCACAACTTTGTTAAAAAGAAGTATTGATTTCGAATTTAAAAAGATCATAAACATAAAGAATAAAAGATAACAAGTTCAAATTTTAAAAATAGATTTTTTTCAATTCATACAATATCAGACTATTACTCCCTCGCCCCGTAGTATTTGTCCGCTTTTAATTTTTTTGGTCAAAATAGGTAAACTTTGACCCCAAATTAAATAAAAAAATATTAGATATTGATACAAAAATAATTTTATTAGATCTATTATATAAGATATTTTCAAAATATTATTTTTTACAATTAATATACAATATTATTTTATTTAATTATAAGTTAAAGGTTGAAATAGTTGACTTAATAAAATCAAAATTGGACAAATACTCAAGGACAGAAGTAGTAATAACTTTAAAAAATAATGTTAATAATAGTAATAAATATAATATAAAGAATATCAATGAAAGACTTTTAAAATTGAATAATACCATACAAAATACTCCATATACGGTAAGATGAAGTTGACAAATAATTATTTGAGATACTCCTCATATAGGTTTGAACAGTTCGGTCTGTGATAATTGGTTTTAAATATTTGTATCACGGTCCCGTTCTGTTTGATTTTAATTCGCTTTTGATTCGTGGTTTAAACACTCAATCATATTTAAAAACACTATAAACGATTCGGTACCATTACGATCCGGTATGATATTATGCTTGTTTGGTTGCCCACCCCTTTTTCTCTCTAGTAGGGGAGGATATGAGGACTCAATTTGGGGTTATCTATCTGTTGCTCTCCGTCAGAAAGACGATTCGAGTTTTTCTAGTTTTTCAGTTTATTTTTCTTCTAATTTCTTCTAATTTTTTAGTTTCTTCTAATATATCCAACTATACTTATTTTCTTCATTTTTTACTCCCAAGTAATGACTCAAAAAAATGTGTTTTCCATGTATTATTATTATTATGATTATTATTATAACTATAGTTTATAATTATTTTAATTTTTCTATTTTTATTTTTCTCATGTCACTATTTTGTGATTCATACTCATTATTATTTTTTTCGTTATATTTTTAATATAAATAATATGTAGTAAAATTTTATTGGAAAATTGTTCTTTTGTAATTTGCATGACACTAAATCATGTTTTAAAAACCATGGATATTTACTAATCTAAATTGATCTGGGATAAATAAAAATAGTAATTAAATTACCCTATATGTTCTTAAATAAATATATTTGTATTATTCACACGGTCAAATTTTATCCATTTTTTAACTATCATGAATTTTATAATAATAATAATTATACGAATTAAGAATTATTATTATTTTCATTATTATTATTATTATTGTTGTTGTTGTTGTTATTGTTATTGTTATTGTTATTGTTATTGTTATTGTTGTTATTATTATTATTATTATTATTATTATTATTATTATTATTATTATTATACATAAAAAATTTCTGATTTTTTTACAATATTTTATAGTTTTTTCTAGTTTCTTTTAAAAAAGATTCTAACCTTTTTCCAGTTTTTCCTAATTTCTTTCATCTTTTTTCAGTTTCTTTTAATTTCTTTTTTTTTCTAACCTGACCATATTTACTTCTACTTATTCTTATTACGTACGAGTATGTCTTATTAAAATCAGATTAGGTCATATTAGAAACAATTTTAAATATAATTAGTTTGAGATTAAACAAGATTAGAATTATTTCTTGTTAATTTCTTTGTTTTTCTCTTTAGGAAGAGCCGAGGAGGACTGAATTTCGGGTTATCTATCCGTCGGTCTCTCCGCCAGAAATACGACGTCATCTCCGGTCTTCTCCCAAGTCACTTTACTTTTGTCTTTACTTTCCGCCCTTTTCTCATTCCATTGCACATTCAATTCAATCAATCGTCCCTTAATCTTTAAGTTGCAGAAATTTTTTACTGTATTTTCCAGTGGAGAGAGATTCGCACCGGCGGAAATTTTGGGGAAATCCATGGCGGCGGCCGATCACTCCGATGATTTAGACCAGCTACTCGACAGTAAATCCCTTTTCTCTCCTATTCATATTGTTCTTGTTACCTTTTCTGCGAATATTCTTGAATTATTTTGAGAATTCTTGCTCTCTTTTTTTGTGTTAGGTTAAATCAGAAGTTATGTATTTATTTATTTATTAATCAGATACTCCACATTTAAATTAGAACACTAATTTTCAGGCGCTTTGGATGATTTCCAGAGCCTCAATATTGCTGCTGCTGCTTCCCAAAGGTGTCCATTTTTCTCGTTTACCCTTTTTTGTTCTTCTCCATCCGTTTAATTCTAGCATCTTACAGCTACTGGATATCATCTATTTTAGCAGTATTTTTAAAATTTATTTGTTGGTTTAACCGAGTTTAAGATATTTTTACTTGTTTGGGGACTATTTTACTTTTATAAAAAGTTATTATGATGGAAATTAGCTTCTTTTGTTTAAAATTGGAATCTTTATGCCGGACAAAACTATGTTTGGAAAGGAGGGAGCATGTGTTTTCTTGATGCTTAAGAAGTGAGGGTTTGGATGTGTTTTTGAAAAATGGGTTTGGGTTTGTAGGAGCAAAGATGGAGAAGAGAAGCGGAATTGTATGCCGAGTGAGGTTCAAGGGCTAGGGATGGGATTGCCAGATTTGAGAAAGAAAATGGGTAAGCAGAAGAAGGATTCCAAGGCAATGAAGGATTCGCATGCTTCTGAGGCTCTAGATAAGCTCACAGAGCACACCATGGAGGCTGTGAAGGGGTTAGAATCGATGAACGGATTGCAGCTTCCCGGAGATCCGAATTTTGGGAATGATGCAATGATGGAGGAATGGGTCAAGCAATTTGAAGAGCTTGCTGGCTCTCCGGTAAATTTCTTGAATTTCCAAAATTTCTGTGTAAAGATTTTTGAATTTTGTCTCCATTTTATTATTTTTATGTTGTATGTTCTTGCGTCTAGTTTCGTTAAATAAATTTTAGTTGAGAAGAACACATTCCAAATTTCATTTGAGTTAATTGCCATCCGAAATATGTTGAAATGAACTGGAATGAACTAACTAAATTGAATGATAATGATAATACAAATACCAATTGTAATAATCATCATAATTTGATGCCCTGATTTCGAGGTAGAATGTGTCTCAGTTTGAACTGATGTATTGGCATTTATATACCAGGACATGGAGTCAATGGTTGAGACAATGATGCAACAGCTTTTATCCAAAGAAATTCTGCACGAGCCTATGAAAGAAATGGAAGACAGATACCCTAAATGGTTAGAGGAAAACAAAGCTAAACTGGCAAACGAAGAATACTGCCGTTACAACAAGCAGTATGAACTCATAAAAGAGCTTAATCGAGCTTATGAAACAGATCCAGCAAACTTCAAAAAGATTGTTGACCTCATGCAGAAAATGCAAGAGTGTGGCCAACCACCTAATGATATTGTCCGTGAGCTTGCCCCGGATTTTGACTTGTCGAGTCTTGGTCAAATGTAAGTACACTTAACCTAATCTAATAATTCCCCGTCCTGAAAAAAACTTTATACACTTTCCCTTTTTTGGACATCTTAAAATACACTCTCCACTTTCTGTATTCCCTTTTTTAGTAATGCATTACGCATGCATGAAGTGCTATGAAGCACATTTGCAGATAGAAAAATGACAACTGTGATAATTAACGATTATTCTTGCATTCGAATGTACTCTCTTCATTCACTTTTAACCGTTATTACTTTTGTGACACATCAAAAGTTGAATGAATACACACATGTATCATGTCTACATTCATTTGTTGTTTTGATGTATCAAGAAAGTCATAATGCACCATTTAAAATGAAGTGAAGGAATAACACTTATCTTGAAACATATATTTTCTCTCTAAAACGGAAGTGATTAAGAGATGGACATGAATGTTCCTTGTGCTTTTGCAGAACCCCAGAGATGCTTGAATCTAAACCAGAATGCTGTATTACATGATATGACTGGCGAGGTCTGCCTTCTCTTCCTGTCTTAGCTTATGCTTTGGTCAATTCATATGTTATCCTTTTGCAACTTGTATCACATTATTCACATCCTTTCATTTTCACTAGTTTTTTTTGTCAATCGGTAGATTGATCGTAGTTACTCGTTTGATATGGTGTGGAATGGAATACGGCGTTTTATAGGGATGTAAACGAATAAAATCCAATCTTCAACATTTTATTATTTGTGTTCTGTTTTTTTGGACAAGTTTTTCGGTTCAAACATCTTTTTTGGTATTTGTATTTGATTCGTTTATCAATTTTACATAAGCCGTTTCATTTGAATTATGCATTGAGTCGAAATTATTCGCTTTATTTACATCTCTAGTGTTTGGGTTATAATCGTTCTACGCGAGCGGACCTCTAAAGTGTGTTTATGTTGATTATCACATGTGTTGGCTTACTCTGTTTTCACTTGCTAAATTTAATTAATGTTAGAGTGATACATTTTAAGAGTTTTAACTAATACTAATACTCCCTCCGTGCAAAACTTGTCTTTCGATTTATTATCCACCGGGTTAAACTTTATTCACTTTGTTGTTGGTCTATTTTGTTGCCCATTTTATAAAATAATATAGTGATGTGCTTTTAGTTTTGTTGATCTTTCGATGTAGTTTTTAAATATAAATACCCTGTAACTTTTATTTTTTAATTCCACATTATTTTTCATATTAAAACATCAATAATAACAACCCAGTTGAATTCCACTACAGTAGGGTCTGAGGAGAGTGTGTGTACGCAGACCTTGCCCCTATTCGGAAGCAGGGAGGCTGTTTCAAAGAGACCCTCGACTCAACCTGCACAAAAAAATATGATAGGGTACACAGTTTACACAGAATAGCATGAATAAAGCACCAAGTACAATGAAATGAAAGTTCTGCAAGCATTAGTAGAAGATTCCAATCAAACACAACACACTATTAAAAAAAACCTCTCTAGCACTGAGCTCCTATTCAGCTACTCTAATCCTAGCTCTCCAAAAGTTCCTAAATGATTTGAAAATAGTTTTAGTCAGACATCATAATGCGCAATTTGAAAATCTTTTTTTGGACGGAGGGAAGTAAATAAATTTTTGTAGGTCTTGATTTTGAGGAGTCATTACTAGTTATGACATTTTTAATGCTAGTAGACATTTAAGAACTCTTTACGTACTTCAATTAAGGTTGTGTCCCGTTCGCCTGATCTCGCCCAAACGCCAGGAAAGGCTCCCCGTCACAACCGCCTCTGTGTCGCTGCACCCATCACCTAAAATGGAATTGGATCAGATTCTGGATCCAAGTTGCAGAGTGTTCCTTTTTGTCATTGAAACACTCCGTAATCCGTATAAGCCTTTGATTTGATTTTCGCATTTGGTTCACATTTGAGTTTTAACATTTTATTATCCTTATTTTTTCAGAAAGGAACCAAACAACAATAGATAATTTTCACTTTCACCCAAACGTTAGGAAAGGCTCCAAGAAAATAATTCAATTTTCAAAAGTCATTTTCCAGGATTCCAAAGGACCCTTAAAATTTTCCAAAATTTTTCAATTTCTTCTAACCTTCTAGTTTTTTTTTATTTCTTTTCAATTTCATGTAGCTCTTTTTAATTTTTTCTAACTATTTTCAATTACTTCTAGTTTTTTCCAACATCTAACTTTGAAATTTTAATGAACAAAACATGCCGTTAGTGTGAATTTTCTTATTGGGGCGTCTTTTTTTGAACCAAATGCACAATATATATCATCACCTCCAACCCAAATAGATTACAATAGCTAACTGCTAAGTGCTAACCCATACACATTATAAGTATCATCTATCAACTCACTTTCCTGTATCTAAAATAGCTTTTAAGCACACAAAAAAAAGATATGGCTATTGGTACCTTCAATACTAACATCTTTCACATACATTTTTTGTTATTTTGGGCTTTTTGCGGATGAGCGTGGCGCAGTTGGCAAAGATAGGGAGTGCCAAGGGATATACCCGAGTTTGATTTCTAGCAACTACGCTAGGGGCAACTATGCTAAGCATATGATCTCTACAAGTATCAGGTGCAGGCTTCACTCCCTGCCACCAATCTGTGATTAAAACCTAGTTTACTTTTTCTCAGTGACCGTCTCGTCTGCGCTATGGGGTAATAATATAAAAATAATATGAAATGCATATTCTACTATACATAAATGAGTATTTGCCGTAAATGTACTACAATACGAAAAATATAGTACAACCGATTGTACGGTATAAATTAACACGGGGAAGCTCGGGTTAGGTTTGAGCCTTGAGGAGAGGGTTAGGCCGAATTTATAGTGCATGTTTATTATTCACAGAGTCAAACTTCATTCACTTTTTTTCTCAATTTTCGTTAATAATTTGATAAAATAAAATACTATTGTCACTACTAATTTTGTAAATCTTTTAATGTAGCATTTTAATATGTAATTTTTATTTTTTCTCTATACCATTTGTCATATAAAATATTTTGAAAATAATTTCAATTAAAAATCGTAAACCAAAACATGCCCTATAAATTAGGACGAAGGGAGTAATATATAGTGCATATATATTTTGTACTTTGTCCCGATTTGAAATGCTTGTTTTATATTCACAAGATCAAATGTTATTCACATTATTTTAGTTGAAATGAATATTGTGTTAATCATAAATCTACACTATGTATAAACATAATGAACAATTACGTAGTTCTCAAATGAGCATACGAATAAATACTACGGAGTACGAAGTATAGAGAAATAAATAAAGATGCAAAATAAACATTATGGTACTTGAAAAGAAAATTCTTACATGGTCCTAAAATTCATGTTCATTTTATAAATCTTTTTGCATTGATATCATAAAATATTGGGTCTTGCAAAAACGAAAAAAATTACTTGCCGACCTATAAAATGTGATGAAATATAGACTTAAAGACCACATAAAAACTCCTCCTTTGGGTAACCCACACCAACCGAATACACAACCAATCTTGGTAACAAGAATCATCTCATTAAAAAAACCACATTTTTAAAAATTTAGAATCAACTTTTCCACACATCCAAACCAAACACACCCCTATTTGTTTTACCAAGAAATAGTTCTACTCGAACAACAAAAAAATGTTACATTTTTTTGTTAGGGAGGGAATAAGTATATCTCCATTTACAACCCGAGCCTCACTACGGAGTACCCTCCCTCATTAAAAAATCATTTGAATGCGGACACATAGTGTGTCCATATTCATTCAATTTTTAATGTACGTAAAAAGTCATAATGAACCATTTAAGAACAAACAAGAAGAGCAAAGAGTTCATACAAAAGTAAGTTCCACGCTAAGGTCAGCACTTCTTGGATCTAACGAGCACACAATCTTTGACGAGCAATGTGATCCGGAGATGCATTCCCCGCTCTGTACTGTCACAGGCTTCTCCAAAAGCTTCACCCCTTGCTTCCAATATCTTTGTTCTAAATTTGAACACACACAAAAAAAGTTATAATTTTGAAGAATCATTTGTTTCAGAAATAGCTGATTCTGAAGAATCAAAGAAGTAAAGAGTAGACCAGTTCTGAAAATCAGATTCTAGGAAACAGACATCAACTGCTTTCTCAAAATCTAAGACAAATCCAACACTCTCCTGATTTTCAGGAACAGAGCAAAAATAGCCATAATTTTCTTGTCTGATATATAATGTCTTGACTTATAAGTTATAACCATACCCTACCTGGCCCAGTCGATATGATGATGGACTCTCCCGCATCCATTACCCAATCAATCCAAAGCACCAGTCCATGGCACAATCCTGGCTCCGTAAATTCAAACTGAAAACTTGTGATTTTTTTTACTCCATTAGATTCTGGGATGTGACTTTTAATTAGAAACTCTGAACTGTGACTTTTAAAAACAAGATGCAAGAACATTATAAACAATCACCTCAGCTTCTCCGGAGCACAGCCGCATTGGTTCTTGGAAATTGAACTCCATTACAGTAATGGGTTCACTCAGTTTCTGCAACGATTTTGATTCATTTTGATCAATTCCAACAAACCCTTTCACGATTCTCCCTTTGTCCCAAAATAAACTTCACATTTTTCTTTTTGTCGTCCAAAAGTAAATCTAACACTGCACCCATTTCATTTTTGGGTCATGCTAAACTAACACCAAGGATGACACTAGAATTGACGACACCACTATGTCTCACAGACACGCCCCAAATGGAGTGTGAAACATATTGGTGTCATTTCTGATGTCATTATTGGTGTCGCTATCGCTTTTTTACTTCTTTTTTCAAGGAATGGATTATGTGACCCACAACCTCTCTCATCTAAACAGATTTCAATCACACGTTTTTCACTTTTCAATGCTTTTCTTAAACTCTGTGAAGTCAAACTACAAAATCTTATTTGGTACGGAAGGGGTATTAGCATGAACATCATCAATGTTACCTTAGTCTCCCCACATTGCCAAATAAAGAAGGGCAGACAAGGGCTCCCTTCCCCTGCAGGTAAATCTCCACATGCACCTAAAGTGGAATTGACCACAGAATGGTCAAAACCTTCGATGTGTTTCAGGCATTGCCGACTTCTCCAAAGATCCTAAAAAACATGATAGTGTCAATCTCAAGTCATTTGTAGTAAGAAGAAATCAAAATGGAAAATGAAAATCATCCCAACTCTCACAGAAGAGGGTAGATCAAAATACCGTCACATCAACTTACGGCAAGGTACATTGCACATGCCTTCAAAAGCCCTTTACAAGGCATTATCACCACATCTTTTGACAATAAGGGTTCCATCATAGTTCTTTCCTTCCTATTGCATAAATCAAGATGAGGAGTTAATATGTGTGTGCATGGGCGCCGGGGGGGGGGGGGGATTACTACTTACCAAAACCGCAAATTTTGCCATGGGAGTAAACCATCTCTTCCATAATAGAAAGGTTCTGCAACCAATACATCAACCTACATCGACATAGAAAAATGGATATGAGATCAAAACTATTGAAATATCACCTTAAGGATGCTTTGTACGTCCTTAGAATTCAAGAAAAAAAATCAATTCACGTGCAAAATTGAGATAAAATCAGAGAATAGTATAAAACATATAGAATTGTAAAACATCACAGTGATTGTGTGCTAAACAAAATTGTTGAAGAAAACATTGATATTGATGAGGGGATTGGGATAAATGTGTTAGTAAATGAGGACATATGTTCAAAAAAATTACTTTGGTCGTTCGATTTATAAGTTCATACGAAAACCTCATTTATGACAACCTTGTGTGAGATAAAATCTTATTTGCGGTTAGATTAATCGCTCTGGTTTTCAAAATCTTCTACCAATTCGGATTTTTTTAAAGAAAACCAGTTTCAATAACCTTGTGTGAGACAAACTCACCAAGGAATCACGTATTTCAATCATCATAACCACAATCACCTTAATCTCAGCTACGCCGGGGCATAAGACATGAAACTTAATGTAACTTGAGAGTCATAAATGAAGTAAAACAATAGATTCATGCAAAGTAGCAGAGTGACAAAGTTTTATGCTTTCATGTTGCAATTTTCAAAATGAATAATGAAGGAACTCAAGCCAATATACATAGGTTTGCATTTGTTACCTTTCTTCCATGTGTGGCCTCCATGTTTAAGCCTGAGTATCTCTGTTTTAAAACAGTAATGCAATCCATCGAGTAGCCGTTTGAATCAGCAACAGCTTGCAGATACTGTTCTCCTTTCTCTCCCAGACCGGGAAATGCAGATTTGACATTGACATTTGATGCTCTGCCAAGTTGAGCAATAGCAATTGTCAAGAAAATGCTGTCATCAGCAACAAAGCACAAAGGAGACACTTTATGCTTTATCTGAAAGAAAAAAAGAAAAAAAAAGGTGAACAATACTTCAAGTTTATGTAAACCCAAACAACAAAATTTTATGTAGAGGATCTCACAGCATTGTGAACTGCTTCAAGCACTGAACATCTCCAATTGCTGTCCCCATAAAGTGCAATTCTTTCTGGTGATAAAAGGACTTGACAATCTTGGGCATCTGGTTTGGACTGTCTAGCTTCCATATTTTGAGAAATTGTTTTTACCTCATAAGTGATGCTAATATTGGTATGAATGGCATTTAAATAGACATTTTCATCTTTATGCACAGGTAAACCTCTGTTTGGAATGAACCAAACACATTGTTTCCAATGATCACACCATGCTTTAGAACCTATAATGACATACACATACATATACATATACACATACAAATATAATTAAATAAATGCACTTATGATATAGTATATATTTTGATTCTTATATTTTTAAAACATCTACTGGGCATCTACTAAATAGGAAACTCATTTTAAACCAGAAGAAATATCAAAGGTAAGATGCCTCAAATTTTATCGGATGTCCCCGAAGGGACAAGAGAGATGCCTCAATTTACATGATAGGTTTAACTCATTCACATCAGGTAGGCAACGTAACCAATTTGGCCCAGTGGAATAGAAGACTGTCCCTTCTCTATCGAGCTGAAGCAACCACCTGAAAAACTAAAAATATCACTAAAACTTCGGTGAGAAAGTGATCGTAATATATTAAGGAGGACCATTTAAATACCATGAGATGACAGCATGAACAGTGCCGCCTTTCGTTGCCTTAACAAGAAAGTTTGTTTCCCTGGAGCTTTCAGGCCTTTTCCAGAAGTCAAACTCAAATACTTTGAATGGTTCTGAGAGCTTTAGGAAATTTAAATAATAAATTAATGATCAATTATGAATAATGATGATGATGATTTTACAAAATATGAATAAAGAGTACCAGTTTAATTTCATCACTGATTGCCTCACAATGCATGGGATATTGTTGGTGCTTGACACATATTATTGTCTCCATGCCTTTCGGAACAAGACGAATTGTATCTGACGTATTTCCCTCATTATTATATAGATCATGCATCTTCCACAAGTCTTTGCTTTCAACCAGCTGAAAGACAAATATGCCAAATTAGAACTTATAGTCAAAATGGCAACTTTAATTAAACCTTAAGTGATTAGGCGGAGGTGTATGAAGGAAGGCAAATCAGTGCCATGAAAAGGCCAAAATTTGGTGAGTATATATTGCAAGACATGGCAGGGAATAAGAAATTTTACAAGCGAAGAGAACTAAGTAACAACAACAACAACAAAGCCTTATCCCACTAAGAGGGTTGGCTACATGGATCAAACGATGTCATTGTGCCCTATCATGGCACTTAACTTAATCAAGTATAATAAAATTGCAAAAATTTCCCATATGTGATTTGAAATTGTTTAGCTGTAAAACTTATGGAGTATTCACTTAGTATAATATTTCCATTGTGTCCATGCCAATAAAGCTAAAAGAATCATTTTTTTAGAATGTTTTAGCTTCAGATAAATAGTGGAGCGAATCAAGGTGGCACATTAAACCACCCTTGAAGCAATACATCAAGAGTCCCCTAACACAACCTCTATTTTCTATAGGGGTAAGATTGCGTACAAGGTTGCGATAGTACTAGTTTGTTGTTCTTGTTTTGACGCTGTAAAGTTTAGATTTTCCAATTCAAATGGCTGTTTCGAAGAAGATGATGAAGGCATTACAAACTACGGAGCATTTCCTATTGGATCAGCTCATAGAGTACAAAACCTTCTTCTTTTCAATAAGCTTGCAAGGAAATGCTAAATACATATGCACATTTAAATTAGAAAAGAGATTACGAGACATCTGCATTCATAAGTGAATAGAAACGGCAACTGAGGGAAGAATAAAATACTTTTCAAGACCGTTGGCAATGTTCAGTCAGCCGGAATACATTGAAAAGAAACAGGAATGTACAATTTGCAGAAAATCAAATTTAGTTTTGCAAACCACCTGACCGTAAATGGTTGCTCGGTAAGGCACTGTTTCTGGACTATCAACCAAAAGATTATCATGGGCATGCTGCAAAGTTGGAATTAGCCCCTCACCTAACAGCTCTGAGTCTAGTATTTCACTAACCTGTATTCAAACAGATGATCAGAAATACCATGTTACTAAAAGAAGCCATACAACATGATGTGACGAATCCACGAAAAAGCTTGGAATTGATTATCAAATTTCATAATGACCTTGAGACAATGAACTCACAAGAACATCTGCATGAGATGCTATGTCGCTGCCAACTTCTAATTCATCTGACCTTTTATTAATTATGCGAATTCTCCTCTCCATACCGTTCTCCTTCAAAACTCTCCGCATCAATTTCACCATAGGAAGGTATGATTCACAAGCCGTAACCATCCCATTAGAACCAGTGCAAGACTCTGAATCCACACGACCCATTGCCCGGGCAGCCATCATGGACAACAATCCAGTTCCAGCACTGCAAATTAAATTCCAAACTGCATTCTAAGAAACATGTCTGTTCTATTAAAACAAAACCCCCCCATTTCATTCTAAAAGAGTAAATCAGGAGAAAATTTTGATCTTTTTTTTTGTTTGTAGAATATTTGAAGAACAAAAGTGTACCCAATGTCAAGAACGTGGCAAGGCTTAGTTACAGTCTTGTCAATGGCTTCACGGAAAGCTCTGTTTCTGGGGGAGTCGTTGAGCATATCGAGATACGACGTCGTGGAAAGAGGGGGGATTGGAGTTTGGGAGTCGGGAGTTTCGATTTCGTGGACAACGACCCATTCGGAGTTTCCGGTTAACGGGTCAAGCTTGAGCTGGAACATCCTAGAGCCAGAGCTCATGTTACAGGTAGTGGACCGGCGGAGGAAGGGCGAGAGCAAAGAAATGACGCAAAGAGGGGATTTGGGGTTTGGGGTTTTGCAGAAGGAGAGCATAGAGGTGGAAGGGAGTGGGATGGCGGTAGCCAATGCCTCTCTTTATATATATATAAATGAGACTCGGAGCTCTAAGAACATGACATTTGGTATATTCAAAACTTGACATGTGGCGCATTAGGAAATTGACATGTGGCATATTAGGTGGCAATTTAACTAAAATTACTCTCTTTCATTATTTCAAGTTTTTTACTCTTTTTTCAAATATGATATGGAGTAATTACTTATTTTAAAACCATGAATTCAAATTAGAATTAAAATTATTGTCCGTGTAAATTATTACTTTTAATAAAATATCATTTTTCCAGGACTCTATGTACAAATATTTTTAATATATGTCTCGAATTCGTTAAGTCGTAAAATTTTCAAAAAAAATTTATACTAATAAATAAAATACACTCATTGCCCATAAATAAATTTTATATTTATTCATTATACATTTACATGATATTCCTTTGATTGTATTTATTTAAATATTGACTCCTATTAAATAAAATACTTCCTTTACATATAAATAAATTTTATATTTTTATGACACTCAATGTATCACTTAATTTAAGATATAGAAAATCTGAATTCCATTTTTTTGGTATAAAATCTTTGAATTAGTTTAATTTTTAAAGAGAAACATTCATTTTTATGAAAATACTCTTTCCAATGCATTAAAATATTTTTTTTCTTGCTTCATTTAGAATAAAAAATTGATTAATAAATAAGATGATTTTTTCACATTTAAATCATTTTCATACAAGCATTAGTTTATAATACTTTAAAATGAAATTAATTTTGATTCTATTTATTTCAATAACAATGTAAAATTAAAAACAAAGAATACATTTCAATAACTAGATAAAAAACTTAAAAGTCAATACATGACTGGACTAAAATTGATTTTTTTAGAATAATAAACAAAATATTCTCTTCATAAATAAATAATATACGAAGTATTATAAATTTGTTTATGATACCTCTAAATGAAGTTAGTTTGATTATATTAATTTAAATATTGACACCTACTAAATAAATACTTTCTTCGCCAATTATGAAATTTCTTATTTTTTAACACATAATATACCACCTAATTTGAAACATACAAAACGTAAAATCAACATTTTGGTAAATTATGATTCTAAGGCCCACGAGTGAAATGTGAACCTTCTTACACTTTTCATGACCAGCAAGTCAATATTTGTTAAAAAAAGATCTAATTTTTTTATGATATTATTACCCCAAGGCTTATAAAATGAGCATGGACCATAGGACTGCGGAAAATTTTGCTTTATAATAAAACTTTCAATCCCCCGACCAAAAAAACTTTCAATTAATGAATAAGATTTATTTTTTACCTCTAAATCAATGTCATGCGGGTATT